TGCCCCCCCCCCCCCCCCCCCACCTTGACGCCAGTCTAAAACTCCGGTGCATTAACGGCAAACAGTATGTATTACATTACTGCAACCGTAAAACTGAACTGACTCTTTTACAGACCTTGCATTAATTTTCATACTATTTTGTTACTTCTCACAACACTTTCATCATTCTAATTAAACTCCCACTAAACCAATCGCACAAACTGTTCACTGGGACATTTTGACAGTTTTGGCAGGCCCTCACTGACGAAAAACAACGAATTTCCATTTCAATTAGTTGCAGTTGTTCTTTGTTGGTATGTTACCCAACTTTGACAAATGTGAACAGTATGAAACCCATCTAGCGCGAACTATATACGGAATGAACGAGAAAACGATCCTAACACCATGATTAAATGTGAAGAGCGAGCTTAGTAAAAAATAGACTTACTTTGAGATTTGGAACGACTTCGTTACACTGTGAGCAAACATGCTTTCCATCAGGTTCGTTTGGATCGAGCTGTCTTAGAGAGGAGAAGAACAATTGTTTCTGAGCACCAGAGAGATAAACAGGAACCATTGCCAAATCGCCAGGTTTACCCGGCTTACCGTACTTCGAAAGAATCTTAATGAAAAAAGAATAGAATAACGCGCATAGAATATTGGAAGGCGTTGATCAGCTATTTTGGTGAGCCTCAACAAGGGAAGGGTACTTGGTCGCAGTAGCCTTTCAAGATGAGACGTATACAGCCGTGGGCATTTTCGAACACGTCTCAATTATACTTTCCGAAGCTGCTAACTTAGGTACATGATTTTTGGACAAAGTCGTATAACCGTATCCCTCTGTGTCATACCGCTGTATCGAACAGACGTCACCGTTCCTCAACAGTTACGCCGTTGAGGAACGGTGACGGACTTACGTACAGGACATGAGATACGAATCCTTGATGCGTGAGCTCATTTTGCTTACTCATGAAATGTGTGACAAACACATTTTTTACGCTTTATACTATTACGCTATTACGAAATTCCCCAACAATGTTGGCAATGTAACTTGAGCAAACATGTTCTCGCCCTTCACCAGCACATCAAGGAATCTGGTCGATTTGAGCAAGGAGTTGCAGAAACTTGGCTGAAAAGAACCCCGAAGCTTTAAGGGGAGAGATGTGCCACATGACTAGATGGGTCGAAATGTTCCCCAACATGTTACCAGCGAAATGTTCTGTCTGATGGTGGCCCACCGTGTTTATAGAAGTAGATAATAAAGGGTTTCTCAACCATATCTCTCGATACTATGCTAGACATTCTGTAAGACTGTAACTGTAAGAAAGATGAGCCCAAGAAGAACAATCACAATGACTCTCTCTTGTCATCTGTAACAACGGCGACGACCCATCACATAAAAATGGCCCGATAGGAAACCTCATACCATCTCAGAGATACTGGATTTTACCCATGAGCTTCAATTTTATGGTTCAGGTAGAAGAGTTTACAGCATTCTATAGTTTGAGATACTGAAGGAGCCGCACTCCCCCACGCATAAAAAGTAAATTGTTTTACGCCGACTGTCATCCAGAGAAACCTAGGGAAGGTAAGCGAGAAGTAATTCTAAAATGAACATAGGAACCTCACTTATTCAACCCATTTCTCCAATGCCGCTAAGGGGTTCCCTTCTACACCTTGACCCTTTGACGGCAGCGCGCCTTTTTGCGTGTCTGGCTCATGGGACAGACGCACTTTGAAGCTTTCCTCTTCTGCGGCTCACCGTTAGGCGGCGCCTTTCCACGGTTAACTCATCTTTCCTGGTATGAATAACTTTTACTTTTTCAAGCCTTTTTCATGATTTAGTTTAAAATAAGTCTAAATTAGGTAACTGTTAGTTTTCCTCTTTCGTAGATTCTGGTTCTAGGACTAATATAGCCTTGGGAGTGAAAGAAATGGAACATCCTGCAGTAGACGATTTGGAGGGTAATCTCCATGCTCGCCTTTCTTGAAACCTGGACAATTGTTCTCTGATTGAGCAGTGCCTCTGTGCCAAATAGGTTTTAATGGTCGAACATTTATTACGCCTGACGTTTAAACCAATTCGTCGTTATCAAAGGCCTGAAAAAGTTCCGGAAGTTCACAGTGCTGCCTATCACGCTTGACGAGGACCATCCCGTAACTGGTCGCAACCCAGACGATGAATTTCCAACTAAACAGACATTCCAACAAGTCACATCAGCTCCACCAACACCGAACAGTTGCTCAACTTTAGAGGTGATAGAGCAAATGAGACCGCCCTGTCAATCTAATAGTATCGTGAGTGGTACGTACCAGTCCACCTAAATAACGATTAGAGTATTTTCTAGCCGTTGAGGGAAAATTCTATATAATGTAAAAACTCCGTCAACCACAAAATCCGAACCCTAGCCTCGCACATGAAGCGTCACGCTTACCACTACACCAATCCGCCTTTGAGTGATGGGGTACATCCATGTAATTTAAGTTCTCTCATGTTAAACTCCCTGAAACCACCCTCATAACTCCGTTCAGGGGAACGCTCGGCAAATTTGGAAAGCAGATTTGAACTCAGCACCCAAAAACACGTCTAGCAGTGTAGGTCTCATTTCAAATGGCCACTTCGACTTGGGATCCTTCCCTGGTGAGTTCGGTTAGGTGTTCAATACAGTGGTATAACACAAGGGAAAACGGTTTCGTAATTTTATACCCAGAATAGCTTCGCAGGTTTAGAACGCAGATTTGAGATCAGCGGTCCAAAATACCTACGGCGTTAAACATCACATCTTGAATGGACGCTGCGATCAATTATCGTTCCCTCGTCAGTCAGAGCATCAAACATAGCGGAAAACGGTCCTACCATCACAGCTCGCCACCCCGCCAAAACACATCGACCGGGGTAGATAGAGAGCAAGGGCAAACAGGGCGTACATACAACAGTACAGAGCTAAAATTTCGTCGACCTCACTAACACCAACATCTCATATTATCCTTTCACCCTTCTCACGGACCATGCCCTCCTTAACAGCGATAATGAAACCAAATACGATCCACTAGCCTTTCAATGACTCTCCTACCCACTGAATCCGTCCCAAAACGGCTACACGAAAACAACAAACCGCCACATCGTCCATCTCGTCAGTCACAGCATTGAGATTTTGTTTACGTCGACTTGAAGGACTGGACAATAGGTCGGGCGGATTGTTCCGGCGAGAACGAGATGTCACACTGGAAAAAACGGATGAAATCGGTCAACGGATTTTCTAGTGATACATATTTGTTTCTGGTATACGAATGATCCTACCATTTCCCGTACAAAAGCATAGATCAGTGATTCCATGACAAAAATTTTATCGGAATAGTAATTTGAACCTACGTGCTTGTAGACTGGATTTCAGTACCGCTACATATTTCTCAAAATAAACTTTGCTCAGAAAATAAGGCAATGGGGCATAATTCCCTTGCAAATTTTTACCACGGCCACATTTCAGCAGCTATATATAGGATATATATATCCCATATATATCTTCTATATATAAAGCGCTAACTTTGTGTGTCCGTTTGTATATACATTTGTGTGTCCTCCCAAGTCACGTCGGCACGAGCAAGAGCGTGAAGATCACAAGAGCATGGTGAGAAAACAGGTATGAAATGGAAAGTCAACCGATGCTCTTTACATTGGTCGGTTGACTGATATCAATCTATTTATGACGTGTAGATTGAAAATCAGAACCCACCTCAGGACAATCAACCCTCTAGAAACTCGAAAAGGTCAGAAGTGAAAAAATTCCATGACCACCTAATAGTGCCAAGAAATCAATATGCACAAGCGGCATGCGATCGTTCAAATTGGGGAATATCTTTGGGGAATTGGTTAGAAGAGGGAAGTCAACCGATACTGTTTATATTCGTTCTCTAACAAATCGTAGGTCCAGGCTCCGGGAAAAATGGGCAAAGGTGAGGGATGGGTTAACAAGTGGTTCTACAACGTGGGTGATTAGAGGCTACAGAAGAAATTTCGTCAAATCCCCGAAGTGGGCGGGGCTTGCACTAAGGTTGGCGGACCTAAGATCAAAAATTCATAGCTCTGTTCAAGATGTTCAAAAACGCGGGAAAAAGTAGCCGGAGGTAAGGGAAGAAATGTGTTAAATACTTGACTTGACTCGAGTATGCGGAGGGGTGGGCGGGCTATGATCGAAAATTTATAACTGTGATTGGCTGCTTTCATAGTCTGCCGGCAGAAGGCGGCGCTATCCACTTACATTCAGATTGTAGACAAGTGGATAACGTCGTCTCCGGCTGGCGGGCTATGAAAGCAGCCATTCAAAACATTCTAGTACGCTGAGAAAATGGAACGCTAAGAAAATGGTTGCACCGAGGTTTACGTTGCCATGTAAAACCACTAATGATTCTGCAAAAAAGAAATATATCGAGCGGGATGGTCTCAAAGCGTTCAGCGTGCTTGCCTAAAAAGAACTGTCTTATTTTGATAATCCAATACTGCGCTGAATCAACTCATCGTAGATGATTTTCGTTGACATATAATGTACGCGTTAACGTGCATAGCCTGACTGCTGAAACTGAAACTGCTGGAACCCAAGCTACAACTGAAAGCCAAGTTCCACTTTCTTCCCAGTGTCAGGCCCAACACCACGTTTTAAATTTATGTTGACAAGAACAGTGTCACCCGTCCAAGCCAAAAAGAACTCTCAGAACATGTAAACAAGGCAATTAAACAAATAGTAAACAAATAAAAATATGAAAATTTCTGTTGCACGTGAACATATAATCCTGACTAATCCTAATTTCTCGAAGGAAAAGATCAAAACAAATAATCAACACTACGTACCTTTGCATACTTGGACCTTTGGTCGGAGTACACTGCGGCGTAGGCGTTGCATCGATAAAAACAGTCCTGTGAAATATGACAACGACATTTTTTGAACACAAAAAACCTTTTTCTCCTGAGCTGGTGGTACTTGCTCGTGAAACTCACAATTAACAACCAAGTCAAAACCCGCGTCACCACAGATAGTCAACTGCCGGTTCCTCCGAGTGATTATAGGCTGTCAAAAATCAAAATTCCTTTCATTGAGAAGGACCAAACGAAAAAACAGTTTCTGGACGATAAGTGTCGGTCGGATGAGCTATAAGGTGGTGTGGGTCCGATATCTACTCCCCGAACACTGCGTCGCGCTCGCCTCCAATCCTTCATCGCATATTGTAGAAATGCGATGAAGGATTGGAGCGCGCAGTTTGAGAGATTTGAAGCCCTCAAGTTATTTGCATTTAACCTCGTGTTCTGTTCGAATAAAATAAAGTTGTTTTCAATTTTTTGAATTTGCTGGCCGCTCCCTTCAGTTCCAATGCCGTCTTGAACGTCGATAGTATAGGAGGAGCCAATCCAATCAATCAAGTCTCATAAACATAAAAACGAAAGAGGAACAGAAAGAAACAAACAAAACTAATTGAAAAAGAAATGCAGTCAACGAAAAAGATGTGTCCTGTCGATTGGCTGGGAGACGGGCTCAGTACGGTAATTGCAGTTTGAAGCCGCGAGACAACCAGAAAAGATTTGCCGCATGCCGCAAGGCGAACTCGGGAAATCGGAGAGAAGTACCGTTACTCAGGTGGCGTACACGCTTGGTGTCTTCATTCTCCTTCGAAACGCCCTCTGTCAGGAGTGGACAATGGAGTTACAGGAAATGTGAACGGAATCAAGCCAGTTCAAGCGTGATGGGAACTGTTCGATAACCTTAGATGGTAGGAATGAAATGAAAAGATGTATGTGGCTAACGATGGTGGTGTTTCTTCCATGGCAAACAGTGGTTTCGTGGCAATTTCTTCCACCGCAAATCTGAATCTTCCCCCTCACGCGCGCGATCGAATGCGGAGAGCACAGCACGCAGCTCAGGTAGAAGAACTTACATACGTGTGGCTAGTGTGGCTTGGCCACCCCTAGTACACCGAAAAGTTTGAAAAGACTTGACCAGTTATGCATTTTTAACAGTTAATCAGCAAAGAAAACGCAAACGGAAGAAAAATCTATAATGATTAGCAGAAAAGCGAGTTCCACGATCCCAACCGAGTTTTGCCGTCCCAACATTAAATGATGCTATGTCGAACTCTACTCTGGTATCGCTTACAAGCATCTTTATGTGATGTAATAACGCGCATAAGGAGTGCTGCATCTATTAGGGAGCTCTTCACGTTCGCCCTAGCATGTTTGGAGTTGTCTATCCGAGAAGCGCAGAGAAAACAACAAAACGCTGTGTTACTTCTACCGCATGAGCGGCACACTAACCCGGGTGTGGCATCTTCTCCCCGAAAATCTCGCCGCGTTCGCTGCACCCAATCGCGTGCAGTCGTACGTAACGTAGTGAAAGGTTTGAGTACACAATGGAAGGATACGTAACTGCCGGCTGCCGTGAGAATTCGGGGAGAAGCTTCGTCAGCAACCTTATCTAACCAAGAGGGTGCGTCCATAAGACGACGTCCAAGCTGGTGCCGGCCGTCGATTGTTAACTCGCAGATCGACGAATCATGCTGCAGGCTTACCCAGCGAATAGGTTAAAAGAAAATTTGGTTGCAAAAATTTAGTTGGCGACTAAGGGATGAAGCGGGGATAGGTTACGATCGAATATTCTGTATTAATGTGTATAAGTCTAGCCATTTCAGGTATCTCCAGCCTGCGCGTACCATACCCCAGTATTTCAGTATCGAACGCCGAAGTCGAGGGAAAAACGCGGACGCTGACGGAAAAAAGCGCGTATTGTTGCACCCAGTGCGCGGTAGAAATCGCCTGAGGGAAGTTAACAATGGCTGCTTTCAACTCCGCCGACGTGCATAGTTTCCACCTAACGACCAACCGACGGCGCTCCTGGTCTTGTGTTAACCATTTGAAGACTATGCCGATTTCGACGTGACGCGCCCACGGGACCACGCCCCCTTCCTTTCATGCGCGACCGGCACCCACTGGTGGGTGCCAAGGTCCCAGAGAAACTCCTTTCTCTGGTTTAATAAATTTAACAATATTCCCGCATAGCAGATGCATCATAGGATCTTATTTTATCTTATATTGAACAGAGGCGTAGATTTGCGCTTTGGGTTTAGGTTTGATTTTTGGTTTTTTTAATGTAGGTTAGAATTTTGATAATAATGTAAGCAGTAGGAATTTGTATAACACCCAATGCACTTGAGGATGAAGAGATCAACCGCGCGGTCACATAATCGCAAATCAGGTATTCTAAGCACTCCCTCCAATGCTCCCAGGACACACACAAACCTTGTCAAAGTATTTAAACCTTGTCAGTAAGACTCCATCGACTATATAAGTTTGTAATAAATAAGCTTCTATAGAACATTCACGTGGACCATATTGAATATAAATGCCATGAAGTTTGTTAATGAATATGAAAGTACTAGATAAGTTCCAAATGTGCAATCAAAGGAAAAGCATGGTGGCACCCAACATTGGGTGCCATGTTCCTATGTGCCAGTCATAGTGGCAGCCACCGGCGGATGCCATGGTCGACAGAGTTAACGACACTGGACACCGATGGATCACGCGCGACTCAGGCAGCCCTCAACATCGAAGGTTGTTTGTTTTCAACCCCTCGAAGGAGCGTGGACTGTTTGCCTACCTGTCTGCCTCCCTCCTGCCCCTAGCACTGCCTCCGCCTGCATGCCGCGGCGGACTATGAAAGCAGCCAATGAGCGGCGTGACGCATTCGCCGCAAGTCGCCAGAGTTCGAAGTGAAGGTGTTAGGGGATTGGAGTAACTGACGTCCTATGTAATCGGTTCAAAGGAGCCATACGTCATCGGTTCAGAGGAGTTCGGTTCAAAGTTCCACCTTCTCGAAAACCAACTAACACACTAATCAGTTTGCAGTTTCGCTATCGTATCCAGCCAATTCTGCAGTAACTATGAAGCCCGAGAAACAAACCCTAATTAGTGGTTTTCTAAATTGTCAGTTCTGATACAAAATTGCAGTATATGGAGAAATGAAGTTACCAGTGTTGAGAGAACCAACGAACCACAGCGTAAAGCTTTACCTATTCGCAAGGATGTGTCAAAAATTCAAAAGACTAACGAATCAGTTAGGCAATCCTTGTTGTTGAAGACGGGCAAAACGGCAAAATCATTCGATCCTTCCTTGCGACTCTGTAAACCACTTATAGAAATGTGAATTATTCATGATAGAATCTGAGCTAAATTGCAAACCTTTGATTAACAAGCTGAAACTGTTACTATAACATAGTTACTTCAAAAAAGAGCACGACGACGCTGAAAAACCAGAAATCTGGCAAGTTTCGAGTAAGATTTAATCCATCTTAAACTGAGAATACCGAGGAGAACTCAGAAATAACGACTGTTCCTGCATTGATGTGTGACGCTAAGGTGCGCTTTATAGATGTCAGTGTTTTCCTGCAGTCGCGCTAGTCCACGGCATACGTATTTATCATTGAAAACCTTCTCTGATGTCAATTTAAGGACGTTTGATTTTCACAAAAAAAGGCAACAAAAATTTTCCCGCAAACAGGAAGGATTGCAGGCACGCTCACCGACTGAGTGAATCCCAGAAAAGAAACGCTGAACTTAACTAAAATCCAAATAGCCATTTTTTGATCCTATGAAGGACAGCACGGTTATTTAAGAGTCCACCACATTGTTCCTCTACCAGAAAAATAAGCACCAACATGTGCCATACACTAGCATAAAATTTGTGAAAAAGAAGAAAATTGGAAGAGTAAAGCGTCTACGAAGATGTTTGTATACTTGCCTTTCTATCTTCGACAATTACAAAATCTTCATTATCCATCCAATCTGGCCTTCTACGGAGCCTTGATGACTTCGTACGCACACTCGTCGCTGGGATGGGTGAGCTGCTCTGCAGTAAGTTCTAGTGAATCCGTAAGGTCAAAGAATTTCGAAATAATTGAAAACTTCAACAAATGTGAGGCGACCATTCTTAAATTCACGTTTCCTCAGTAGAGAAGGGAACTACAATGTCACTGAGTAGCAATTTAAAAGGGAGCTATTTTCTGCAATGTATAACTCAAATAGTTCTCATTTATCAATTGCTACCTGAATTTTTTTTCACTTCAAAACTACTTAGGCTCTGAGAAATCTCTAGTTCACTACCCATTACCTCTAGGTGATCATATCAAGGAGCACACATTGTCCGAACTATTCAGACACATTTCTGGTCATTTTGGCAAGAAATAGCTGCAGTGAGTTAGTGAAAAAAAGCGGAATCACATGAGACTTCTGACACTGACTGATACAACTGCCCATCTCCGGTCGATGACAAAGAATGTGACCGAGCCCTTTAATCGCTTAAAAAAGCTCAATCAAAATTTTGATTCTAAATGACGTAGTTATTCTCAGGTTAAGCGAGCAATATATATTTACATACATCAAAACCAGACCGAGTTGCAAAAAACAACTGCATTTCACAAGTAGATGGCTCAAGGAGGCAACGCATTACTATGCTGATGGCCAATAGGAGCTCATAGCTAAATTACCCACACAAAAGCACCTGATTTTGACTCCAACATTCACTAAGTGTGAAAAATCATAAAACTTTGAACCAGAACGACGAATGAATAGTTCTGACCTCACGGGAAGACATATCGACAGCATCAGATAGCACATGATTCACAACCTAAATTATTTCAAAAGACTATGATATGGGACAAGCCTATACACTAGAAATGATAATGAAAACAGAGCAGAAAAAATATCTACTGTTAAGACAGTGCATAAAGTCTTTGAAAAAGTAACAAAATAATCCTAACCTCATGAGAAAACATTTCCACAACGTCAGACAGTATACATTCCATGACCTAAAATTTACCTCTTCAATATTACAATTCCTATAAAATCAAAAATGAATCAAAAATGGTAATGAGGTAACGAAAGAGCTTTGTGCGCAAGCTATTTCTTTTCTAGAGATTTATCGCTACCAACTTTTTTTTGGCCAACCATGTGATGTGAGCTTGAGCCCATGCCTGACGTACCATAATACAAAAGAACTAGTAAAGTTTTTTTTTATTATTGTTGGTCCAAGTAGCGCATTTTCGCTCACTCATCTAAGTCCAAACAGTGTTCCCCGAGGAGTATACAGAACTGTATCTATTCTCCTGCCATGTTTTCTAGGAAATACTCAAAACGACTTTACGCGTGCTGTAGACGCGCACAATCTCAACAAAATAAGAGCTTTTTAATTAAAAAAAAATGGAGAAAAGTGCTTCTACGCCGGCTTATGTGAACTTTTTTCCTTACTCAACGATCCAGCCACTGCCGCAGACCTAAATAATATCACTGGGTGTAACCTAGACCTCAACATTTTAAACGAAGTCAGAAAAAATCAAATAAATCTGTCACCAAGGACCTTCGCAACATCTTTCATGATCACGTCTTCATAAACTGCGGGTGAAGTGATTTTCGAGGAAGTTTCCATCAAAGGACACGAAGGTGTGGACGAATGACGAGTTCGAGTTGCCTGTGGAATAATCCGCTACTCCCCAATCGGCAGCAAAATCCTCTTTCACAATTAGCTAAACATACCTCATCCAAACCAAAAAGCAAAATATCGTCATCTCTATATCGAGCCGGAATCTTACGCCTCCTTGGCTCCTGAAAAACGCGATCAAGTTGAGAAGCGTCGGACGAGCAACCTTTTAGAAGCGAAGTTTGGCCATCGGAATTGTAGTGGGACTGCGCCGCCACCGGAAACGATAACATTATGCTGTCAAAAAGAACGTTTTTCAACGAAATCAACAGCAAGGGACAAAAATGAAGAATTTTCGAGAATCATATAAAAAATACTTACCCTAAGGTTTATTGCCCGACAATTCTCCTCTGCATTTTCGGGAAGATTCGGAGGAGTACAACTTCTTCGACTTTTTTTAGTTTTAGTTTGTATATTTTCGACTCTTCGTGTAGTCTCCGGAGTGAGACTAGCTGAACAACTAGTAGCATCATCTATGACCTCTTCACTGGCCGGTCCACTAGTTTTGAAATGATTTTCTTGAAATGATAAAACACTGCAGTTTTCAGCGTCACGCGACTCCGACTAAATTAACAACTATAAGAATGCCAAGAGGTGAGTGGAAATCATCACGCACCTCATTCAGTTCACGTTGATCGCGAACCACTCCGCTACACTCTGGGCTTAAACTTCGAGAACGGGTACCTTCGTTTGGCAGACACTAAAAACACGTTTCATGGAAACCTTGAAGTAGCGACAGTTTTCTAGATGGAATTCATATGTCTAATCTGTACCAATTTGAGTTTTTTCGCTCGTCTCCTTACTACATATTCATCGGCCTCCCTTTTCCGATATGCAATGTGTTCCGACTTTATTTGACCATGTTTCCTCTTTATATGTTGGAAAAAAAACTTCCACCTCAAAAGACGGCTTTAGAACTTCCCACGAGAACTGAAACCAGCCGGAACACTCACGTAATGAACTTCTTTGAACACATAAGACACGGTATAGCTTTTCCATTCTTCTCCTTTTTCAGATGCTTGACTGACATATGATAGGCTAAGGCCTGAATGCTTCCAAATGGAGCAATCTCGGCACATGAAGTGTTTAGGCAGCGGCCCAAGGTTGGTTCCACTTCGTACGGTACGTATTTCATTAAACGTTCTACACACTCCACCTGAAACATTCACGATCGTGCACGTGTGGCAGCCACCTTACTGTTCATTTTCCAGTCCCATCTAGAGCTGGGCCACGGACAAAATGCAAGCTACTGATATGAAAACTTTTCTGGTAAGAAATACGACAGTCGTGCTATAAACCATCGCGAAATCACTGCTCTCCTGTGATTCGTATTCATTCTGCAGCGCCAGTGCACAGCGTAGAATAAATCTATGCGCACAACCGTTTGTAAAATACAAAACCGATGCTCTCAAAGCATAACAAAATCATAAAGTTAGTGAAAAGAGCGGACGTCTTAACTCCAAGTTCTTCGAATTTCACTGGAGCCAAAAATCTTACTATACATAAAGCGCTCACGTTTGCCTGTCTGGCTGCCTATTTGGTTGTAGGGAATTCGATATTCCTGTAGAAGCAGCTACAAAAGTCGTGTCATGTTTGGGATGGGTTGGGCATAGAACAAGACCAATAGAGCATCTGTGAGCTTAGTGGAGCTCTGCCAACAAGGGGGGGGGGGGG